GATGACACCATCTCTGCCTTTCACACTTTTCACCACCCTGATGTCTTGGGTAGCCGATGCCGGGCTTTGGCCAGTCTGAAGACGAACTTCTCTGCGTTTCTGCTTTCCAACTTCTCGTACAAGGCGTCCATCTCCGTGTTCTTCGCCTTGGCTACGGCGCCTTAGCGAGCCTCTTGCAACTCCTGTAGGTAGCGAGGTCTTCGGGGCTCCGGGTCTTCTGCCAGCGCTTGTATGCTTCCTTCTTCTGCTTCACGACTCGCTGGACCTCCTCGTTCCAGAACCACGCTGCCTTGTCTCCTCTGATTCCACCTCGGGTCTCGCCCAGTACCTCCTTGGCACATCGCAGGATGGTCTCAGCCGTCTTGCTCCATGTTCGCTGTATTGGCCCGTTAGGATTTGGTAGACCAACTTCCATTATCCTTCGTTTGAGGTCATCTTTCTCCGCTTGGTGCAACTTCCACCACCGGATTCTCCGCTCGGTTCTTAACCCTTGTCTTCTTGGGAGGTCTATGGCAATGTCTGCCAGGAGGGGCCTGTGCTGGGAGCCAGTCTTCGCCAGGGAGTACCTTGATATCCTTCACAGTCTTTGAGGGATGATCTTCTTACCAGCACATGGTCGATTTCCGTCTGTCTCCCTCCACTGCTGTAGGTTACCTTTGAGTCTCCCTTTTCGCGAAGAACGTGCTGCAGATTGCCAGATCGTGGGCCGTAGCCAGGTCCAGGACCCTCTCTCCCTCGGCGTTCCTCACTCCTATCCCTCTACCTCCGTGCACCCTTTCCCGGCCTCTCCTGTCACTGCCGACGTGGCCATTCAGATCACCTGCTACGGTCAGGTAATCGCCTTCCGGAATCGTTCTTATGGCTTCGTCCAGGCTCAGGTAGAACTCGTCTTTCTCACTGTCGGGGCATCCTGTCTGCGGCGCGTACACGGAGAGTATTGTCCAGTACCCCTCTTTCGTGTCTATCCTCACAGCCATGATCCGATCGCTGATCCTGTTCACAGCGGAGACATAGTCCTTGAGCGACTCCGCTACCGCTATGGCCACACCGTTCCGCTTGGTGTCTTCTCCATTGTAGTAGAGCTTGACACCTTCCCCGATTTCCCTGGCCTTAGCACCTTTCCATCGCGTCTCCTGAAGGCATAGGACTTGGATATTCCTGCGCGTCATCAGGTCAGCAACCTCTCGGGACTTCCCAGTTAGCGATCCTACGTTCAGAGTCCCTATTCGAACTAGCTTCTTTGGCCGAGGCCGTTCACTCCTCGGTAGCCCTCGCATACTGACCACAGAACTCGGGCGAGGGTTCTGCGCGCCACTTCCGGGTGACGTCCTAGCTTTATCACTGATTCTTTTTCGACTTTAGACATGTTTGTGTGACTGGGGTCTTCATCAGCCGGCCTGTCAACCTGGGCCTGACGCTGGTACTAGAACCATTTTTGCAATTTTTGCAAGGCATGGTTAGCCTCGGCAGGGATCGAACTCGCGGTTTTTCAGAGGTGCAGACATGAGTCTAACCTCTTAACCACTCGGCTATCCCTGCCTCTAAAACTGCTCTCTGTGCATAATAAATCGAATCTAATGCGGTCTGCACAAGCAAGTCTTGCCCTCGGATACGCCACGCACGCGCCTGTGGCTGGCAGTCCTCGAAATTGCGACCCCCTTCCGACCAAAATGCGACCCCTTCGTTCGAACAGTTCGAACGGACGGTTGACCCTGGTCAAAACTAGTCTCTCTACAAGCCATTCACCTGTTAACCGATTGAAGAAATTATGTAGCAGCTTCAGGCTGGAGCGGCTTACTTTACGCGTCCTTGAGCTGCTGATGTCAGATGATGTTCTGGAGACGAGAGGGCAATGAAGAAGGACCTACTTTCGCCGTTTTATGCCGTAAACTTCCATCAACAGCTGTACGACGAAAAGTTTGATGATGTGCGCCATGAGCAAATGGACTCTTTTTTGCCTCCCTCCCCTCCCCCCCCCCCGCGTATAGTGCGCTAAGTCTGTCTGTGTGTTTGTCCGTCTGTCACAGCATTTAGTAGTACCTGAAGAACCACCTGCTGAGTGCGGGTTAAGTCTGGTATGGGTGGAGCATAGGTCGAGATGTATAAAACACGTATCAGCAGGTAGAACCGCCCACAGGAGAATGCGCGGGCTAGGACAGTGGCGATGGGAAAAGTTCCAAGTTTGCTGGTAAGACGGCTGCAAGACGAAAAAAAATGGTAAAAATACACTACACACATATGCGCTGATTTCATAAGCCAGGCAAAAGAGGCTCGTCTGCGGTGGGCGGAGTCTCTATATGAGGGGTGCTTGAAATAACTTCGCAACGCGGTTAGGAAAAAGTCTATGGAACGGGAAAAATCGAGGTAGGAGAGCAATATCTAAGGTGTTCTCAGCACACCTCTTCCAGCTGAAGACGGCCCACAACGGCCGGAGCGTGACTTTGAGTGGGCGGAGTTTATTACCAATCCTTATAATTCGGTCTCAAGAAGTCATAGAAACCGAGAGAAAAGTAGAGAGTGTGACAACGAAGGTAGGTTTGCACTATTGGTGGGCACGGTGCGCCAGACTTACTCTGATCTTATGTTATGTTATGTTATGTTTATTACATGACAAGCATGTACAAATCGCCAGTAGGCGGGGGAACACAAAAGGCAAGAAAACACGGCAAAAAAACAATGACAATGACATGAAACAACAGTAAACATAGAAGAATGTTGCGAGATTATTGATGAGGAGAAATAAACGGAAACGGGTAGTGCGTCAACGGAGAACTTTATATAAGTATGATTTGAGCATTTTTATAGATATCGGTAGCGAACCTTTTTTCATCAGCTGCTTATATGCTGACCCAGCGCGATTGACGAAGAATTGATGCCTAAGATTGGAGCGCGCTGCACTGAAGTTTATCTTAGTTCGACTTCCTCTAGTTACAGATGGTAACAGTTGGAAGAAGTTGCGACATGAAACCTTTACTTGGCCGTTGATAATTTTACAGACCATCACGACATCATTAACTTTTCTCCTTAAAGCAAGAGTTTTAAGTCCTAAATGTTGGTTACGGGAATAGGAGTCAGGTACTGACCGATAAGAAAAACCATAACAACGAAGGAACAATTTACGAGTGAAACTGTTCTGAACTGCTTCGAGTCGCTTAATGCAAGATTGTTTCGAGGGGTTAAACACTGTTGTCCCGTACTCAAGGATAGGTCTGACGTAGGTCTTATAAGCAGCAAGGAGAACTTTTGGGTTAGAAGAGGAAAGAGCTTTGAATAAATTATAAATTCTTCGTTGGGCAGCAATAGAAACTTTGTCACAGTGAGTGGAGAAGTCCAGTTTCCCATCAATGAGGAAGCCTAGATCGACGGTTGATGCTACAGGAGAGAGTGGCAGCCCATCTATAGCATAGGAAAAGTGGCCGTTGTTAGGACCGAGATGTAAGACTTTCGTCTTCTCGGGGCAAAGAGGAAGTCTCCAGTCGATGGACCATTGATGCATAGCATTGATTGCCGAAACCATCGTGGATGCACCTTCCTCACCGCTAACCTCAGCGTAGATTTTGATGTCGTCCGCAAACGCTTTGCACTTAACTCCAAGGGCTGAGATGAGCCCAGGAATGCTATGCGTGTATATATTGAATAGAATGGGAGAGAGAACAGATCCTTGCGGAACGCCGCTAGGGGCCAGCTTACTAGAGGAGTAAGTCTGATTGACTCTTACTTGGAAAGTGCGATTATCTAGGAAATTGCAAATCCAATTGATGACTTTAGTTTCTAATCCAACTTCTATCATCTTGACTTTGAGTAATTTATGGGATACCTTATCAAACGCCTTAGTGAAGTCAAAGTACACAACATCCACCGGCTTGCCATTATCAATAGACGCTGTCCAATCATTAAGGGTTTCTAAGAGCTGCGTTTCTGTAGACCTTCCTTGAACAAAACCGTGCTGATCATTTGACACAACAGAGTGAGAACTGAGATGAAGGTCGATGTGTTTTACCATGACTTTCTCGAAAATGCGGAGGAAAATGGAGGTGATGCTTATAGGACGAAAGTTTTGAACAGTAGAGGAAGAGGACTTTTTGGGGATGGGTACAACAAAGGAGTGTTTCCATCGATGGGGAACCTCTGCAGTCATGAGACTCAAATTGAAAATAATAGCGAGCGGGTAAGAAATGAGAGGCGCGATCTTCTTCACGAACATGAGAGGGACTCCGTCAGGAGTAACAGAAAGGGAGGGAGGCCAGCGCGCTAGAATTAGTTCTATCTCTTCCTTATGATACCATAAATTGGGGGGCATTTTGGGAAAACAAGGTTCGTTATGCGTAATATGATGATGATTTATGATTCTGCCCCAAGAAATTCCGGAGACAAAAAATAGTGGATGGAGTACGACGACGAAATGGCGGTTCGGCAGCTCTAGGTGGGTCGCACCTGCGCCAATGCCAGCAGAGTTTCTGCGAAAGATTATAGTTAGGTCCAGAGGGAGCCTGAAGGCCGGAATAGTGGATAAAGTCTTGTAAAGGAATGGAGGTCAATTAGTGGGTGGCACCGAAGTGGGCGGGGTCGGCTGTGAGCATTACACAAATATCGATGTCCCTGTTTTATTTCATTGCAGTCCCGAATGCAAATGAGGGATCAACAAAAAAAAACGTTTAGTGTAATGGTTTTCCACACTTATGGGCCCAGAAAACTGCAAAGTTCAAAAAGCCACACCAAGTGTTCTGATGCCTTATAACTCGCGTGAGGGAGTTTATGTTGGTTTGTCGAATGATTCCCTCGGCGAGCACAGCGACACACCGCTTGAGCATTCGCATCTGGTCGTTTCTTAACTGCTTTCTTGGTTAGTGTTAACGACACAAGATTGAATTGTTACTGACCTCACACGAACCAAACGTCCATTTTCAGGGAATCACTGCGAACGTATTGAAACAGACGAAGAAAGCTCGCCATATGTGCCATGTTCTAAGTCAGGCAACTTCGTCAAATGGTTCTATGCCATGAGAAATATGTGCGTTTAATGTTTCGCTAGTGGCTGAATCCATCAAAAAACTGCATTTACCTGAAAATTCTGCACCTGTGGATTTGCTATCGGCTAGAATCTTTCCAGCTGCTGTTTTGTGGTTTTTTTTTCTTCTTTTGATTGCTGATTTCCGAAATGCCTTGGAATAGGCTTGAAAGATAAAGGAAAAGTCCAAGAAAGACTTTCCCTCGATTTTGGGATGGACGTTGATGTGTACGGTTTTGTTGCGTTGTTGTTGTGTTCAACATTCCAGTACTTTTTATAAGGCTCGCGTTTCGGACTCTTCGCCGAGCCGGAAAAGTTGAAAAGCAACTGAGGCCGGTACTTTCTTGACCCAAACAATCTTGAAGACAATTTCTACGAACTTCTAAACCTGCAGAGGTCGAGGAAGAGCGCCAGGTCACGGGTTACAGCTTAATTTTCGTGCTCTACCAAAAGCGAAGAGGCCGAAACGTAAGACTAATAAACGGGATCGAGATCCTGGACAGGCACACCGGAACCGCATACATCAAAAAGGGATGGCTTGGAAAATGTAAAACACTTTTAGAGGAATGTATGGCAAGACGGATTGGAACTTT